GCTGAATATGGGGTCTGCAAGGGGCTGCCCCAGGGATGGGAGTTGATGCTGGTGGGGATGTGGGGGGACACAGCAGGGCTGCTTTTGAGGGTGTTCCTGCCTGGTTGATCTGTGGAAGAAAGGACTGACCACTTGGGAGGATTACAAGAACGCTGTCAGAATATGCAGGGATGAAATGAGGAAATACAAGATCTCCTTGTAATTAATCCTGGCAAGGCACGTGAAGGTCAATAGGGTTTCTTTACGTATATTGGAGGCAAAAGGAAAACTAGAGAAAATGTGGATGTGCTGTTAAATGAAGCAGGTTCCCTGGTGACAGAGGATGCAGAGAAGATGGAGTTACTGAATCTCTCCTTTGATTCAGTCTTTACTGCTCAGGCCAGCCCTCAGGAGCCCCAGTCTGGAGGAAGGAAGACTTTTCCTTGGTTAAGGAGGATCAAGCTAGTGATCAGTTAAGTAAACTGGATATCCACAAGTCCATGGGTCCTGGCGGGGTACACACACAAGTGCTGAGGAAGCTGGCAGAAGCCATTGCTTGGCCACTCTCTATCGTTTTCGAAAGGTCCTGAGCAACAGGTGAGATGCCTGAGGCTGAGGAACTTGGGTCCTTCTAGTTTGGAGGAGTGAAGACTGAGGGGGGATCTCATCAATGCTTATAAGTACTTAAAGGATGGGTGTCAGGAGGATGTGGCCAGTCTCTTTTCTGTAGTGCCCAGTGACAGGACAAGAGGTAATGGTCTCAAACTTGAACATAGGAAGTTCCATCCAAACATGAGGAAAAACTTCTTTATTTTGAGGGTGACGGAGCCCTGGCCCAGGCTGCCCAGAGAGGGTGTGGATTCTCTGGCGACATTCCAAACCCACCTGGCCATGTTCCTGGGTGACCTGCTCTGGGTGACCCTGCTCGGGCAGGGGGTTGGACTGGATGATCTCCAGAGGTCCCTTCCAACCCCGACCATTCTGTGATTCTGTGAAATGCTATTGTCCTGTTCTGAAAGTTGAGAAAAGCAACTACAGGAAAAATTTAACCTCTTACTAAACCAGATTCCCTCCTTGGTCTCGACTGATCTAATGTACTATGTAGATACCAAAACATGGGATGGAGACATCTGGTATGGTGACGACTCTGATGAACTGTGGAAGATTTTGATTATGACCTTACCCCAGAAGCCACACCTATAAGACCATCGAGCAAAGTTCAAACTGCATGGTAGGGAAGTGACTACATTCATCTGAACCATCTCAAGTGAAACCCGACTGAAATCACAATCTGGGCAGGAACATCCTACAGCAAAAAATCATCAGTGTTGTTCAGACCACAAATGAGAGGTCGGCCAACGCATGACACAGAGGCTGTGCCAGAGCATGTGCAGTTCCATGTTTTGATTGGCCAAGCAGGGAAGGTCAAACAATGCTCACACAAATAAAGGGAGGGAGGAGTAACCCCCTCAGCAACCTCAAGATGGCCCACTCATTTCCAAGAAGGTTCTAGAAGCACAGACTACACGACACCCAATTAACATGATAAGCTGAATGCCCACCCGGAGGAGGAATAAGGCTCCTGTATAAAGGGCACGAATCACAGCCCCAGCTGGCAGCCCCAGGAACTGGATGGACATTTTGGCTGGCTGGACCAATGCTGGACCCAGGACGGGTTCTACTAAATGGACTATTTCTGGGAATCAGGGGAATCACCCTTAATCCTGAATGGTGGGGACATGACACAATCACAGGAAAGCAGAAACAATGGTTCTGCTGTGTGAAGTGAGGCGGGGACCCCGCAGTCCTGGTCTTCCCAGATATTAAGGAATGTTTTGTTCGCTATCAGGAGGAAGCAGAAATAAATGGTTTTGGATGAGAGGAAACGACCTCAAGTTGCACTAGGGGAGGTTTATGTTATATATTAGTAGGAACTTCTTCACTGCAAGAGTTGTCAGGCACTGGAATAGGCTGCCCAGGGAGACAGTTGAATCACCATCCCTGGAGGTGCTCTAAAGATGAGCAGATACCGTGCTTAGGGAGATGGTTTAGCACCTGGCTTAGTAGAGCTGGGTCACTGAATGGATTCAATGATCTTAAAGGTCTTTTCCAACCAAAACTGTTCTATGAATCTATGATTTCATCCATAATTTGGAGGCAAGAGGCAACAAGAATTCGACACCAAACTGTAGGGACAAATCAAGGTTGGTCCTCCTCACCCTTTCCAGAAGGGACCCCAAATTCTATAACAGGGAAATACAGCTTGTAATTGCAATTATATATATATATGCTGAGACCTACAGGCATTCTGCAGTAGTACCAGTAGTCTTTTATTGCTGGTAATCCAAAAGAACCTAGATCATAGAATCATAGAATGGCCTAAGTTGGAAGGGACCTTAGAGATCATCTAATCCAACCCCCCTGCCATGAGGCCTGGAGTCTTCTCTTTTCGAGGCTGAACAATCCCAGTTTCCTCAGTTTATCCTCGTAGCAGAGCTCCTCCAGCCCCTGGATCATCTTTGTGGCCTCCTCTGGACTCATTCCAACAGATTCATGTCCCTCTTACGGTGGGGACACCAGAACTGGACGCAGGATTCGAGGTGGGGTCTCACCAGAGCAGAGCAAAGGGGGAGAATCCCCTCTCCTGCCCTGCTGGCCACACTCCTCTGGATGCAGCCCAGGACAAGGTTGGCCTCTGGACTGCAGGAGCGCCCTGCCGGCTAGTGTTGACCTTCTCATCCATCAGCACCCCCAAGTCCTTCTCTTCAGGGCTATTCTCAACCCACTCTGTGCCCAGTTTGTATTTGTGACGTATGTCACATGTGAATAAACTATGCTATTCATGCTCTCGTGTGTTTGATTATTTAACATAAAAAGCCACTGGACTTAGAGTGTGTCCAAACCCATGTTTAGCATAAAAGCCCGTCTACGTGGTGACGGGTCTCTGAGCAAGGCAGAAAATTGTTTTTCGTAAAGCCAACAACCCCACAGCAAAGGGGCTGTCTGGACAGTCACCATGAGAGATCATAGGCACCACACTCAATACATTAAACGCATCACTGGTACCCTGCACCACTGTGATGGGCTTTGAGGGGATTCACTTCTGCTCAGCCGGGGGCCCCATCTGCGAGCTGCCTCCCCGGGTGTCACCAGCTGCTGCCTTGGCCCCGTGGTCCCACCTACGTAAGCTCTGAACCTCCAAACGTGCCGTGCCAACATGACTGTCCTGCAGAGGGACGCTGCTGCTGTGCCCAGGGAAGGCAGCATCTGGAATTTGCTTTCCCGTAGTTTCTTAATTCTTTGGTGTTTCTAAGCAGTTCTACATGGGTTATTGGCAATAATAATTTATCATGATAAACTTATGCTTTAGAAAGACTGATCCTGCTTATCAGACATGGGCATATGATCTCCTTAAGTTTATTAGAGTTAAATACTATCCAATAATATATTGACATCGCATCTCAGGTCAGCAGGGACAGATGTGGAGTCAGCTCCAGCAGGAAAAGGCAGAGATCCCACTGGGATTCCACCTGCTCCCAAGTTTAACAAAAAGTAGTTTTTCCCACGGCGGGGGTCATGACAGAGCAAACAACCATGCTGCAAGGCGGTGGGGGAAGTGGCTGCTCTGGGAGGTCAGCAGGATGGGGAACAGTAAAAATAGCCTGGATCCAAGCCCGATCAATCCAATCCAGGGCTGCTCTAAAAACACCGTCTGCTTCTCGCCTCACTGCTCTTGCCAGCAGTGTGGGGCTGCCGAGGGGCTGGGTGCCGCGGGAGCTAGGGAGCAGAATCCCAACCCTGTGCCTGCCGCGGGGTTCACGTAGCGCTTCTCCCCCAGGCAAGAAAAGTTC